TTTATCTTGAATCAAACGTTATCAATGGCATTGAGCTAACTGACCGGAATGCTGTATGTTTTAGCCTTTGATTATTCTAGACCCTTCAAAATGTACAGGGTGTATTTGTTTCCGCGCAAGTTTTTCTTTATTTATGAGAATTTAGAAAAATAAAGTTGAAGGAAAGTGAAGTGAAGTATTCTTTTATTGATGGAAATTTAGTCAATAAAATAGTGAATGATATGCTTTTGTTATGATAAAGTAGTTGAAGAATTTTGAGAAAATGATTATAAAAAGTACAAACTTAAGAGGTTGTTTGTTTGTAGGATTTTAGAAAATGAAGGATTTAGGTAAAATCTTGGATTTTATGGATGGTGGATTATTTGAGCTTTTTTCTCTTTGGATTTGTGTTGGATTTAAAAAAATGCTTGTTTGCTTTGTTGGATTTTATATTGGATCTGTCTCCATGGAATTTATTAATTATAAACTGAATCTACATTTATATCCTTAATGATTTGTGTTTTTGATGTTCAATATAGAAAATATTGAAAAGAGATGAGAATAAACCCGTTATTTAACATCATGGATTTGATGATCAAATCTCTAATGAAGTAAGTTGTCACTTTTCTCAGCATCTTCTCATTCCATTGCTTATTTTCTATTTATTTTGTTCCTTTCTTTTCTCTTTAGCTAGCAAAAAAGATTAACTTGCAAAGGAAGAGCTACGTATAATATTTGCAACAAATTTATAAATTATGATTTAACTCTCACTCAAATGCCAATAACTTAAATTCTACAAATGTAGATTATTTAACCCCTTATTTAGATTTCTAATTCTACGACCGCAAACAATATAATACCGTGCCACCGCGGATTACTTACTTGCCGGGAAGTAGCAACCGCTTTATATTCATTTCGGGGGCATGATCCGGGATCGGTCATACATTAATTAAGGACTCAAACTAGGAACACTCAGAAATAAACAGTTCATATTCGATTACTTGTATTACAAATGCAGTGACAACTAGGGCTGGGAATCCGGCCCCGGTTTTCCGGTCAAACTGGAAACCGGCCAGTTAAAACCGTGTCGGTTGAAACTGGAAACCGGATCCCAACCAATCCAATCCAGTTGCCGGTTGTAGTGCCCACAGACCCGGTCCAATCCGGTTAAAACCGGAAAAACCGGATAGCAACAAATAAAGAAATCTCAGCCCCCAGCCCAGCCCGCTAAATCACAACCCATCCCCAGCCCACCTCACTTACATCACAGCCCAGCCCAATATCACTTCCCCAAACCCTAATCGATCCAACTTCTTTGTTCTTCTCTCCCCCTCTGACCCTCAAACTCCTCTCATTCCCAATCACAGAGACACAAACCCACACACGAAGAGGAGGAGAAGGAGAAAGAAAATCCAAGCTCTTATCATCCACCCAATTGGCTCCCTCCATCACTCTACCGATCGTAGCCACTCCGCCACCAGAACTCGCCAGGCAGCGACGACGAGGGCTAGGAGATCTGATCGATCGGCACGCGACGGCCGTGACGACGAGGAGATCCGATCGATCGACATGCAACGGCCGCGATGACATGCCTCTCCTATACAGAGTTCGCATGCTCCCTCTCTCGCTCGATCTCCCCTTCCCGGCTCTTGCGACTTCAATCGATTCTCCAGATCCAACTCTTCTCGCCTCTCTAACTTCAATCGAGCTCATCGGTAGGGCGAGCCAGAGTGGTGCTTGAGGGAGAAGAAGGTGATGCTTTTATTGTGTTTTGTTTGATACAGAAGAGGGAGAGGGAGAGGAAGAGGGCGAAGAAGAATCGCCAAGGTAGATTAAAAGAAGGATAGGGTGGATTTTTTGGGAAGTAGGAATAGATTAGGGATTGTACGTGTGGTTGGTAGGAGAAGGCTAATTGGATTTTTTTGTTATTGAAAAAGCTGTGTTTTTTTTATATAAAAACGGCTGTGTTTTGGGATTGAATAAAGGAGATCCGGTTTTTGGGTTGAAACCGGATCAATCCAGTCCGGTCACGGTTAAAACCGTGTACCAATCCAATCCCGTCTACGGTTGGGCATATGACCAATCCGATTGTTAAAAACCGGGTCGATTCGGTCCGGTTTAAACCGAACCGGACTGTTTCCCAGCCCTAGTGACAACAGACACCTGATTATTGAAATGGTCATACAACAACATAGAATGCCTATATGAAACACACGAGGAGGAGGAATTGGGGAAAAGATGCAACGAAACAAACACCATTAGGTTAAAAACAACAACAACAAAAGAGGGAAAGGAGAAGTAAAGGAATTACTACTTTACTAGTGATCACTAGAAAAGAATAGGACGATTGGGTGACGCCATTTCCAAGAATTGAGGATTCTTTTCAAGAGAAGCCATCATAACTAACGGAATCTACCCTCATCCGATCCACACCTCGACTCCATTGTTGATCTTCTCACCCTTTGAAAGATTTCAAGAACTAAACATAAACGACACCGGGATTTACGTGGTATCCTCGTTCTGTCGAACGAGACTAATCCACGGAAGACTCTCTCAAGGAGTCTTCGGCTGATAATTTTATTAGGGTTTTTCCCTTCTCAACTATGCACGGCAGCTAGGTTACATGGCTATATATATGTATTCCAATTCCATTTGCACTTATCAACAAGGAATGGATAATTACTAAACAGCTCACAAATAATGATGAGAGACTAAACATGTTCACCTACACGTACTCTCCCATGCACATACGTGTAGCTCACGTAACACGCCCCCTCAAGCGGAGGCGTGAATATCATGAAGGCCAAGCTTGGAAGTCAAGTAAGCGAACTGATCTGCTCCCAAGCCCTTGGTGAACATGTCTGCCAGCTGATCAGCGGAAGCAATCTTGACTGGCGCGGTCTCCCTAGAGGTAACACGTTCGCGGACGAAGTGGCAGTCCATCTCAACGTGCTTTGTGCGCTCATGGAAGACAGGATTGGCAGCAATATGCAATGCTGCCTGATTATCACAATGCAACGGGGTAGGAATGGAAGTGGACACGCCTAGCTCCCCTAATAACCACCGCAGCCAAATAAGTTCACTGACCGTGCTTGCCATCGCTCTATACTCTGCTTCTGCAGAGGAGCGAGCTACAACTGACTGCTTCTTGGTACGCCATGACACTGGGCAGTTACCTAAGCTGATAAAATAACCAGAAGTAGATCGACGGGTACGTTGACAACCCCCCCCCCCCCCCAATCGGCATCGCAGTATGCAGTTAACCGGAGCTCACCACTGGTAGGAAATAGAAGACCACGACCAGGCGCACCTTTCAGGTAACGGAGCACTCTATATGCCGCATCTTCATGCTCCTGACGAGGGGAATGAACAGCCTGACTAAGAATGTTAACTGCGTAAACAATGTCGGGATGAGTAACCGTCAAATACTGTAGACGTCCAACTAGCCGTCGAAAACCAGAAGGGTCTTTGGCTGCAGGACCCTCAATACGAGTGAGATGATGATTCTGTTCAATCGGGAATGCACACGGTTTCGCACCAAGAGCTCCCGCATCCTGTAGAATGTCCAACGCATACTTTCGTTGAGACAGTACCAAACCACTGCGAGACCGTGCCACCTCGATTCCAAGAAAGTACTTGAGAATAATCGGATTTAACTTATAAATTATTGTTGATCTCCTCACCCTTGGTGCTAATTCCTTGAGGATAATCGGATTTAACTTATAAATTATCATAGAGTTGAGCTCGAGCCGAACTTTTTATCTTAATGATGAGTCGTATAGATTTTAATAAACGAGAAAGCTAGCTCGAACTTGACTTTGCAAGGTTGAACATCTTGAGGAGACGTCGTGGTTTGCAGCTAACACTTGGCATTGATGTATATATGGTTTTTTTATATGCAGCAAAATGCAACATCTTAGGCAAATCTCATATTGACAAAGTATGAGAGATATCAGTAATTCATGAGTAAGAAGTCGACATTAATTACCAGACGTGTTTTTCAGGTGAAATGAAAGAGTTCTTGTAAAAGTTCCAATTTAAACGTGCTCAGCGTAACACAATGCTAGAATTAGTGACCTCCCAAAAGTTACCTGGATATAATATGCATCTAAAGAAAAAAATCGTGCGAGTTTAGACCGAAAGCGAAAAATATCTTGATCGACAAAAATGTTCGAAATGGTACAAATAATGTAAAGCATTTTATTTTATTTGTTAATGCAAGATCTTGAAGCTATAAGCTACGATAACGTGGTGAACAATAATTAATAGTTCCAAACCTTGATCACTATTCGAATCCATATGTACCGCGTGCATAGCTACTCATGCATGTGGCTGATGAGTTCATTAATTAATTATTATTGATGAGATGAAACCAAAAGTCAAATTGTGCGTTCGTTTCCGGGTCAACTATATAGCATGAAGCCAGCTCCCGCGCTTGGAGAAACAAACATATCTGCGCCCCTTATTATTATTCTATAACATAAAGCGAATTCTTAATTAGTTTGTAGGCAACCTATTAATTAGCACGTGTCATGCATTAATGGGAATTGAAATTTGAAACAAACCTCAAGTCAAGTTACATGTCCCTTTCCGCGGTCAACAATTTGGTACTGTGTAGAATACGATCGAGTACGTGTCTGTATACAATGGAATGAAATGTATGCACATATTTATATTGATGCACAGCTTGAAGAGTTGGCATTCACAAAGCAAATCAAGTGTCATCGATCAATTTTCCAAGGCGAGTGAAGGGAAAAGATTGGAGGAGAAAGCGTTGGAGGAGAAGAATCAAGGAAAAGACGATCGAGCTAGCTAGCGTGCGGAAGAACATATAATTCAGCCCAGGTACGTAGCTATATAGAAATTTGGTGTGTCGTTGTGTTATGTATATACGATTTTTCTTCGCGATAACAAGAAGTATATACATATCGTTCTTAATTACTTGACTTATTCTCGATTTATAATCACAATCGCATCCATATATAATGAATTAGTATTCCTTTTGTATACAGGTAATCAGAATGACTGCAAGTCAATCAATGAAAGTTTCAGTGAGGTCAAGAGAGATTGTGAAACCGCAACCATTAAAGTCCAAGACGGCCATGAATGGTGAAGTTGATGAGGGCGAGCAGAGGCGTCCTCCTTTCAAATTATGCTTTCTGGACCAGGTCACTCCACCATACTACACTCCGCTCGTCCACTTCTACCCTTTGACCAGGAAGGAGAGCAAGATCGCTCACTGGAGCCCCGAATTGATGTCCAAGAACCTCAAGGAATCGCTATCCCGCGCCCTCGACTCCTTCTACCCGCTTTCCGGAAGGGTGAAAGACAATGCCATCGTTGACGACTTCGAAGCAGGCGTTCCCTTCGTCGAAACTCGCATCCAGGGCCATCGTCTCTCCGAATTTCTCGACCCTCCCAAGCTAGAATTTCTCAACAAGCTTCTCCCCGTCGAACCATGTTGCCGCCACACCGAACCGAGGCAGTTGCCTCCTCCACAAGTTACCGTTCAGATGAACACATTTGACTGCGGTGGGGTCGCAATCGGCTTGTGTTTCTTTCTATCACCAGACCATGGATGGCGCCACCATAAGCACGTTCCTCGAGACTTGGGCGGCTCACTCCCGCCAATTAATCACGCCTGATGATAGTGCAAACAAAATCGTACACGTGTCCGCAAAGGATTTGTCGGGAGGATACTCGACTTTCCCGCCTCCGCCATCTGGCGTCCCGCCTCAGTACGTGTCTTTAATTGACACGCTGTGGTTTCCACCTGAGAAGAACACCGCCGCCACAGCCGCAACGACCAGGAGATTCGTGGTCTCGAATCGCGCGATAGCCGCCCTGAAATCTCGGGCGACGGGCGCGGGCATTGACAATCCGACAAGGACCGAAGCAATATTGGCTTTCGTTTGGAAATCCATGCTGGCAGCGGCCGCAGATTCCGAATCTCCGAAGCCGTCGTGTCTTTGTCAAGCCGTCAACTTGAGGTCAAGAATGAAGAAGAAGAAGAAGAAGAATAGTACTCATGGTCATGATTTGGTATTTTCACCACACTCCATTGGGAACCTCTTCTCGGTGGCGGTGTCGTTTTGTGACAATCCTGATGATGACGTGGACGATGACGTGGATAAAACCCGTACTAGTCTGGTCAACACTTCGGATTTGGCGGTGCACATAAGGGGAGGAGTGAAGAGACTGTTGGATGAGAAGTGGCTTGGCCTCTTGTCATCCGAGCAAGGTGCGGAGATGGTTTTCCAAGGGATGAAGCAGTTGCGAAGCGGTCAACGCCCATTTGTGAGTTTCTCGAGCTGGATCGGGTTCGGGTTCGGCGACGTGGATTTCGGGTGGGGGACGCCAGTGTGGAGTGGCGTGGTGGGAGAAGCTAGTGGGAATAACCCTATTATGGGTAACGCGGTTCTCCTCAAGGAATTAGCACCCAAGGGCGAGGAGATCAACAATGGCGTCGAGCTGTGGATGAGGCTAGATCCAGTTCTGATGGCTTCTCTTGAAAAGAATCCTCAATTCTTGGAAATGGCGTCTCCTAATCCTCCTATTGTTTTCTAGTGGTCACTAGTAATTCCTTACTTCTCCTCCTTTCCTCTTTTGATGTTGTTGATTCTAACCTATTCATGTTCGTTGCATGTTTCCCCAATTCATCCTCGCATGTTTCATTTGCTTTCTATATATGTTGTCGTATCGTCATTTTAATAATAAGTTCTTTCTGTCTTTGCACTTGTAATACGAGTAATCGAGTATGAACGTTACGTGCGTCTGATTAGGGGTCTTTTGGAAGTTGTGATTTCAAATGGTGTATTGATCTAATTCATGTATTTGTGAGATTAAGTCATTTTTTTGGTTTATATAGAAATAGAATACATGCATTTATTTTTTGGAGGCCCCACCACAATTATTCAATATTGAGGGATGTACAATCTCTATTTTTTGTTGAGATTCTTCATAATCACTCAATATTAACTTTTTTACCTTTAGAACAAAAACACAATATAATGTGTGATTGATCACGGGCCAGGCCCCGAAGATGAATGATCTGGTTGGGCTCTTTTTACTAGGCCCAATTCTTTAAGAGTTGGCACCCAAATTGAAATGAAGGGAAAAAAACTAAAACAAAGGACGTGCTATGCAATAATGGGGGCCCCTTTAATTTGTTGGAAATCGAATAGTCCACCAATATGTACGCACTAGATAGACAGTACATGCAGCTGAGCTCCTTAATGTTTAGCAACCCAACAGGCTACATGTCGGTTCGTTCGTATATATGACCGCTATCTTACTCAAGTTCGATCGCCAGTTTACTATATCTTTGTACCTAGTTACCGTCACCTATGTCATTTCCTTTGCCTAGCATTTCATTCACTGTTAATAAGTCATTATTGGTATCATATGCTTTTCCTTACGCCAATCATGAGCGTGAAGTATATCGTGTGGTTTTCGTTTGAGCAAGCATGTCAAAAAATGCCTTAAGAGGAAGCTAGGTTACTGCTGCTGTTGCATGCCCAACACTTCATACATGAGGAGGATCATTCCGAGCACAGGGATGAAGATTTTTCCGGAAGCACAATGATGGCTAGTGGGGAGTGCTGCAACCATTGAGTACTTCAATATACGTAGCCAATTAGGCACGCCACTTTTAAACTAGTTAGCAAGATCGGCATACAATCAAGAGCCGAAGATTCCATGAAAGATTTGTGTTGTGAACTTGTAATCCAAACTAGTGACATTCATCTATATGTGGCCATCATTATTACTTTCTTAGAAAAAAATCTATTGGTGGCCATCAATATGTTATATTATCAATTCAATGAGGAAAAATTGTATTGTTTGTGTTTATGCCTGGAATGTACCGGGCGGTTTGCGAGGCTTCACAGTCTTCGTGCGGTCTTGGGAGGTGAGAAGCGACCTTCGAATTCCTGCAACAAAGGTCCTCAGGGGAGCCCTGGGACCTCCTCCGATGCCTAAGTTAGTGAGAGAAGTGGATATAGTGAATAAGAGAGAGAATGGAGTAGATCGAAGTTACCCCAAATGTGTCCCATGAGTGGGTATTTATACTAGAGGATGTCGGAGTGAGGATAATTAATGCCTTGTCGGGCGTCCAAGGTCGCGTAAGGACCCGTTCTCAGGAGGCTGTCAGGATCGTACCTTTGTCAGCCTCCGTACTGAGGTGTCAGAGAGACGTTAGGCCCAGTGTCGGGCGGTTTCTCAGAGTTCCGTTGGGGACGTGTCAGGCGGTTCTTTCGGGAAGACCGCCTTCGAACCTTTTATTAGTGTGCCCTGGGCCTATTGGGGCCGGGCTCGATTGTTTCGCTGGGCTTTTTGTAGGTCATGGGCCTGTCGGCCCAAGAGACTCCATGGTTGGCCCAACATTTGCCCCTTAGTCGTGATGATCGTTAGGTTTTCGCGGCTAACTGTTTTTTGTCGCCGTGGAGCGGTCTTGGGTCGCTCAGCCTATGATTATCTGCTTGCCCCTGGCCGCGGAGGCGTGGCGTTCGAACGCCTAAGGGGCGGCTTTACCGACTTGTTTGTATGATGGGCGGTCTATAACCGCACTCGGTTGTCCCACGTGGTGGCATCGATTTTCGCGCTCTGACAAGGTCAGACTTTTGCCCCTTGAGAGTTTGCTTTAAATGGAGAGAGGCGCACTGTTTTCGCCATTGTGTTTCTTCATTTGGGGAAAACTCTCCGTCGTCTTCCTCCTTGGGTCGTCTGCAACTTTCTGCGGAGCTCTGAGCTTCGCCGTCGTCGCCCCTCTTTAAAAGGCCGAGTGTTTGTACTTTCGAGGTGAGTTTCGGAGCTTCTTTCTCCTTTGTTTCTCGCGTCTTTGTTTGCCTTTGACTTGTGTGCTTTTCTTTTGGGTTTATTCCGGCTCGGGACGTCGGCCTTTCCCTCTTCCTCGTCGGCGCTAGATGTCGAGCGGAGGCCTAGCTTCGTCGGTCGGGGTAGGCGCGCCTCTAGCTGCCGCCACGGAGGTTGTGTCCGATGCGCCCACTGCCCCCGAGGTCTGCATGGGGAAGCCGCCGTCGATCTTCATTGCTCCGCCGCTTTCCCCTGCCACCGGGAAGAAGTCAGTGGGCACCTCTGGCGGTTCCGCGACCGCTGCGCAAGGTATGGCTCGTTCTGCCCCTGCCCAACACGCCTCTGATTGCGTGTGGGATTTGTCTGGACTTGAATTGTACTTTGGGGGTGGTTCTGAATTGGACGATTGTCTGATCGAGGACGCTTTAAGTTTAGATTTTTCTTTTGCTAACATCCGACCTGTACCAGTTGGGGTTGTGGCCACTTCGTCCGCGGTTGGGGACAATCTGGGTGAGTTTGGGGGTTTAGACTTAGATAGTGATACGCTGAATGTGGATGATGCGGTTGGTAGTAGTGAAGAGCGTTCGGAGGCGCTGGCGAGTACCTCGTCGTCTGTGGAAGCAGTTGACTCTGAGGACGAGGGATCGCCTTTGGTGGCCATTGCGGATTCTACGTATACCGTTCTTCATCACGAGGGAATGTGGGACGGGGCCGCGGTTCCCACCGGCGTGTTTTCTCATGGACCTCCGCACGAGGCGACCTTGAGGCCGGGTCAGGTGCTTCACCGTTTGAACGCATTGAGTTTACCTACGGATTGGCAGTATGCGGCTCCTACGGAGACAAGTAGATCTGGGTCATGCCCCGAGGGTTGGATCCCTATTCACGTGGAGCACGTTAAGTTGGGATTGCGGTTCCCCTTAGACCCTATTCTTACTAAGACTTTGCACCTCCTTTAGTGTACTCTTGGGCGCTTGTCCCCTTCTGTTATTTTTCAGTCGGTCATGTATCGGTATGCGTGTAAACGCCTTGGGGAGACCCCTTCCTTTGATGCATTCCGACTGATTTATAACATTAGGGATTCGACCAACTGTTGGTCTATCGGTCGGCGTAAGGACGCCGTGGGGTTTGTGACGGGGTCGCCGAAGCTTGATTCTCCATGGTACAAGGAGTTTTTCTTCGCACGTCCCTCATGGAAGTGGTACCATGGCGATACTGCGCCTTTGACGGGGTACGTGGTGGGATCGAAGGACGACTGGTGTGTTTCGACCCAGTTTCCACAGTCAGTGAGAGATCACGTAGACCGCCTTGTAGAAGGGTTTCAGCTGCGAGTCTTTCCTAGCGGTCCCGAGAGTGCATACCAGCACGTTCGCAAATTCTATGGTTAGTGCTGCGTTTTTCTGCTTGAATATGTCCCTCTTCTCATGTATGTTTACTTATGCTTTCTTTTGTCAGGTTTGAGAGCTCTGGCGGATGCGGTTCGTCCGAAGAGGCGAAGGGTAGTGGTGAAGACCGGAGTCGGCCGAGGTGGAAGCTCATCCGTGGCGGTCGGAGATATTGGCGTCTCTGTTGCTCAACCGCCGCCGGTGCAGCCTATGGCGGCTCCAGCTGATGTGGCCGGGAGGAGAGGCTCCAAGAGGGTGGCTGAGAAGACCGCTCTCGGTCAAGCTAGCCAAAGAGCGAAGGCAAGTTCTCCGCCTCGGAAGGCGGCTGGTCGGGGAAAGGGCGTGAAGCGCGGGGAGGAACAGAGTTCTATAGAGGTGTCGACTCAGGCGGCCACGGATGGGGAGGCGGCTGAGTTTGCTTTGCACACTATTAATGATCATCTCGTTATGCCTTCCGAGTACACCCCTTCAGCTTTGGACAGTCACAAGAGACTTGCAGAGACCGCTTCGCGGTTCTTCTTTTCGGTAAGTGGTAATTCGTTGTGGATATTTCGTCACGCAATCTGTTGTTTGCTGGCTAATCATGTGTATGCCGTTGACAGGCTCAGATTGGGTTCTCGCAGGTCATTCTGTTGAATGACCGCCTGTCCCGGACTGTGGAGGACAATGCCGTTGAGATAGCGAAACTGAAGAAAAGCGCCGATGAAGGGCGGGAGACTATGATGGGTAAGTTGAGACCGCAGGTAAAGCGTGAGTTTGAGGAGCGACTGGCCAAGAAGGAGGAGGAGTTGCTGGCCGAGAAGGGGGCGGTCAAGGCTGTCGGTGAAGAGAGGGACCGCTTCTGCGAGAAGGCCCTAAAGTCTGCGGAGCTGGAGAAGACCCTGCTGGAAGAACAGGAGGCGCTGCGGACAGAGCTGGCCGCCTTGAAGATTGAGAAGGCGACTTGGGAAGATAACCGCGAGGCGGAGCTGGCCGCCGCCCGGGCTGAGGCGGGACCCGCCTACTTGAAGTCAGATGAGTTCGTGTTGCTTGACAACGAGAAGTACAAGTCCATGGTGGGCAATGCGGTGGCTGCCATCAGGCACTGGTTCCGTCGTGAGCAGCCTGACGCGGTTTGGAACACGGATCAGATTTGGGACGCCGTTGGTGCGTGGACCGATTCCGATGTCAACTCGGAAAAAGACGAAGGAGAAGAAGATGAAGAGACCGCCCCTGAGGGTGGCGCATCTCCTCAAGTTTAAGATGCCTTGTGTATGTTTCTCAGTTTGCTTTGTGACATTTGCTACTCGAGGACCGCTGGATGTCCTCTATTTTGTGCACGTTTTGCCCCTTAATCGTGGTGATGGGGGTTGTATGCTACTTCGAATTTGG